ATTTCAGCCATTTACAAAGCTCTATTAAGGTTTCCTCATAGTTGACGAATTTCACTCAATGAATTTGAGCTGGTTTCATGTTTTCAGCGTAGCATTCAAAGCTGGTTCAGCATCTTAATGTGAGAAATGGCGATGTCAGCCAAACCCCCCCCCCTCTCCACTCCCACATCCCTTTTCCCTATCACGTCAATCATCGTCTTGAGTTTCCCAACTTGCTAGCACTTTTCGAAGTTACCCAGGAATTTTTCCGGTTCTCCTCCTAGAACTGCCGTCGAGCGCAGGGAGGGAAGTCGTCACCAATCTACTACCGATACTAGTAGATGTACGGTAGTTCTGTTACGCCGGCAACTAACGAAAAGGTAGGGGGATAACATCAAGGGGGAAAAACAGAGAAAAGCCAACCACTGGAACTAATTGTCTCGTAGCTCCGAAAAGGTCTTTTCAAAGGCAAATACGACTCCCAACTCCAGCGAGCAAGTACGACGCTGCTGATGGGATTCTCCCAACGATGCTGCACCCTGATTCAAAGTTTCGTATGACAATGCCGAGATTTCAGGAAGAGAGAAGTTGGAAGCTGTGAGGATGATTTTTCGCTATGGTAAAATCAAATTATGGCTAAAAAGCAATATAATCAAAGACCTGATAAGCCAAAGCATGGAACTCACCGTCCTCCAAGTTCAATCTTACAGATCAGATCATTACTAAAGTGAACTTTCTCAGCAAAATCGGCATAAGCCACGATTGTCTCAAATGTTGTGTTGAACTTTTGTTCGGAACGTACCTGAAAATGAAAGCACGATAATGTGGTAATTGATCAAAAATACTATCAGAGGTTATCACAAGAATCTGAGTTTAGCAAGCTGAGAGGGTAAAAGCGGCCCTGGTGGCGTAACGGATAGCGCACTCGCCCGGAAAGCGTGAGGTGCGGGTTCGACTCCCGCCTGGGGCACGACTTTTGCCCACAACTCAGCATTCTTGTGATAACATTCGGAACGCGTACTGCGGCGTTAAACAGCAGTTATCATAACAAAACTATCAGAGGTGTTTTAAAGTGCAATTAGAGAGAAAAATGCAGCTGAAAACTTGCGAAAAAGCTTTTGTTCTGCACGGCGTTTTACGAGCACATCTAGTTTTCGTTGGCATCGTGCCAGCAATTGATAGATACCGCAGCTACAGAACGTTTCATATCAGCTGGACTTTATAAATGAAGTGATACAGTAGCGGCGTCGACCTGACTGTGGGGCATTTGTGGGCGGGCTGTTGCAGTGGGCGTATGGGTACGTTGCACCTTGGTTTGACCTGCCCTTGATAGAAAAAGGCGCCATGCAGCTTCTGCTCAAGGGGTTTATATATTCCTTTCATCTATTTATCTGCTGTTCGCGGTTTCCGAGTCTACTTCTATTAGAATTCTTATTTGTTTCGAGAAGCGAAAAACGGCTATGACTCCTGGCTCCCAGCAATCCTGTAGTGAAATAGAGCGCTAGGATGCCTCGCACTACAGGTGGCAGTTTCAGCGCCTGCAGGACGTAAAATGTATCGAGTAAGCGCGCAAAATCAGTGTTTATTCTAGAAACACAGTGTACAATGCAATGTCAGTGTAATGACGCTCTTATATGAAAAGATATGCTTCATATGGTCTTGCTTGTGCTGGGGCCAGAGCAAGCCATCCCGTTGTGATCATTTTCCGCCCTAAATATCCGCCCCCCCCCTCCAAAGGAAGTCCCGATACGACCTCCCCCCTGTCCGCTGCTAATCTGGTAGCAGCGGACTAACAAACATCGAAAAAAAGGGAGATCTGTGAAAATAAATAATAAATAAAAGAGGCGATGGTAAACAAGGATAAGTGTCAGAAATGCGAAGAAAATGAGCTACAATGAATCATAAGTGAATAAACAAAAATAATAAACCATAAATGAACTATAGAAGATATGAAAAAGAGAGAAAAACAAAAAATCCATGGGCTAACCTTGAATATTAATCGTTCGCGGCCATTCAAAGGTGCAATTAGAGTTAGAGCGCGCTTCGTGCCGAGGTATTGGAGCGAGCTATTTCACGATCCGGAGCCAGTTCCAAGCCAAACAGTCGGAAAGTACCTTTCACTTGAACACCCATAACTTCTTTGAGAGTGGAGCTTTCGGAGAGGGGAAAGCAGGACTGTGGAGCACTAGATTGGCAATTGTTACGTGAGTTCAAATGGATTCCAAAAAAAGACTACTTCCAAGGAATTCTCTCTGTTGTGATCCCGTTGTGATCATTGGGATCACTTACAAGTCCTTACGCTTTGAACTGCCATAACAATCTTCATGCAAGGCCATTTGTAAAACAAAAGCAGTGACGGAATTTCGAAGGTTTCTACTTTCCAGCAAGACTTTCATTTTATCCCCAGGCCTGTTATTCGTAAAAATCCCCGTTGTGATCATTACTTCCGAACACTCAACTCCTTCCGAACAACACGAAAAACCCACCCATCCGACGCCATACCACCACTTCCAGTTCGTTTGAAGACTTTGGTATGCTTCTAAAACACATTTTCGCCAAGGGTATCAGGAAATAGTTCATTGGGCGCCAATTGGCATCACCTCTGTAATGCGCCATGCATAGGGCTCTCACGCAGAGGTATTGGGAAGGTGCAACTTCTAGATAGGGCTTCCTCCGTGCAAGCAGATGTGCTCCTGCGATCAGAAAGGTCCGGAAGTGTATTTTCATCTGTTTATTAATTAGTTTGGCTGACGCGCATTACTGCGCGAATTGT